ACAGTAAAGATCTTTGTTTGACTACGAATGAAGTCTCGTGTCATCATTGAGCCCAGCTGTTGTGAGCTGACACAGAGTAGCATGTGTGTTATTATATTAACAGTTTCCATATCAACAAAGCCAGAGACAAAATCTTAGTCAAATTATGAATTTTTCCTAATGATTAGAGGAAACTGGAATCCTCATAGTAGTGTCAGTCCTGAGTGGCTCAAAATCTTCCCCCTTGAAGTCCTGAGCTTCTAAATGCAATCTTTTCCATAGCAAATAAAAACAAAAACAAATTGCTTTGTGGGTTATAATGAAAAACAAAAAGCTGGAAAATATACTAAGATTGCTACAAGAAAGTAATGTTTGTTTATTTAAGTCACAGAGTACATAGAACGGAGGAGAAACATGGTGCTGCAGCTTCATAGATATGAATGTTTGTTTATCTCAGATGCCTAGGGCTAGCAAAGAGATGTATCTCACACATGCTCAAACTCATATAAGAAATCCTGGAGAAAGCCCCAGAATCCCATCTCCCCACCTCCCCTTCTCGCCTTCCTTTCTGTCTGTTCCATTGATTCTCACTCATTTTAAAACATATCAGATGCTACAAGATCACTTTGAATACAATAGGAAAATATGTTATCTTTTATTTCTTCTTCCATCTGGAGCTAAGATTAGATTATGGATGGAATTGTGTATTCATCTATCTTCCTGAAGTAGAAGAGAAAGGCTGAGAAGCTGTGTGAAGATATTTGGGACCTCATCAGACAGGCAGGGGGATGTGGAAGAAAGCAGAGGGAACCATCATCCTTCGTTCCCGGTCGTCTTGTCCCATCTACTGGGATGGCTGGCCATCCCATGTCATTTCCCACCATTTGGCAAGAAAAAACGCCAACAAACCAAACAACTACTAACGAAACAGAAATTAAGACCTTGGACCTGGACTGCGGCATGGAGGAGGGGAGGTGTTCCACTAGCCGAGGGGCCCCCATAGAGGTCGTGGTGGGGAGGGGGAGATGCGGGAAAAGGAGACCTCAAATTCGGCCTAATTCGGACCGCTTACCTACATTAATAATTCCAAACCGGTCTTCTATGGTAAATTGGTGTAACCAGGTTGGCGGGCCCTCCGGACTGAAGGTGGTGCTGTTGAACGCCAGATCTGTCAACGGAAAAACGACCTTTAATTAGGATCTAATCCTGGATGAGTGGGCAGATCTGGCGTGCATCATGGAGACCTGGTTGGATGAAGCTGAAGGCGTGAATCTAACCCAGCTTTGTCCTCCAGGCTTCTCCGTGCAGCACCAACCGAGGTCCGGAGGACGGGG